ACGTTTCATTAGTCGCATTCACAGTAAAAACAAACGTGTGAAAAGAAAACACTGGCAACACCCGTCACATGATACAAACGTCATCGCCCCGTTCTTTATCCATCAAACGTTACATTAACTTTGGTCATCTCATGCCTTCCAAACACTAGAAAATTGTAAAAATACTAACATCTTATGCCCTCTTACATCTAAAGGCAGTGTGTCCTCAACTTAAAGAGTTTATAGTCACAGACTAAGACTGGGGATCTTGCAAGGTCACTAGATTCCTTTTGAGGTCATTTCCCATATCATGCACCTGGTGGAAATGTACAACTATAACTTTTTTTTTTCTGGGGGCCATTTTGCCTTTCTTCAATAGGACAGCTGAGGAGACACAGGAAATGTGGGGAGGAGAGAACTGGGGATGACATGAAGCGAAGGGCTGAGGCTTGAATCGAACCCATGGCTGCTGCAACGACGACTACAGCCTCCGTACATGGGGCGGGCAACATAACCGCCAGGCTCTCCGGTCCTACAACTTTGAGCAGAAAACAGTAAAGGAGGAGGAACTGGTGGAGATGGGGAGAGAGGAGGAATGCCTCTTTAACGTGCCCCCCCCCCCCCCCCCTTTTGTACCACAAGAAGCCAATCAAATTTGACTATCGAGAGAAAGGCAAAGTTGTAACGCGGCTCCATATGTGAACCTGCAGAAGGATCATTAGTGGTACTCACTGGGGATTCCAAGGGCCGCAGAAATGTCTGTCCTCCTTTTTTCCTTCTCCACTCTATCGTGGTACAAAGAGGAGGACATGTCAAAGAGGCATTCTTGCTCTCTTCACATCTCCACCAGTTTCTCCTTTTCTTCTCCACAATCCAGGAGAGTCACACACGTTCCTTCACCTCTTCATGACATTTACGCGTTTGCAGCTTCCTGTTTGGTACTGTGAGACCGCTCCTATTGGTTGTTGACAATGGTCACGACATTAAACAACACACTTTGCATACAACAAGGCCAACATTAGTTTATCAATGGGGTCACATAACTGAGTGTGGATTCACGGGCAGAGAAGATATATTTAGTTTACATACAGGTACTGGAAGAAAGCACTTAACTAAACAAACAAGTAAACTCTATCCTCTAAAACTATCTGCAGCTTTTTTTCTTCACTTTTATCTCCAGAATTAACTTTTTCATTTATCAGTGAGGTGTTATGCTGATACAGAGTTCACTGTAACTGTATAGGGTCTGGAACAATTCATTCAATGAGAACCTCGTAAAAAAAATAAAATAATTTATGTCTGTCTTGCGTCAGCATCCTGACGTAGTTATTTCAGCATCCTTTCAGCCTGTTTATTTTCATTACATCTCAGTGAAATCTGTTAATTGTGAGTTCATAGTACTGCAGTGAGACAGATTTCACCTGACTTTAGTGTGACTTGTTAGATACAGGGAAACTGTCACTCAGTTCCACAGCTGAAACAGAACACTGGTAGGTGGTGTCTAACAGAGAAATCCTTCTGATCCGAGCTAACAGATCATCAAACTGAGACCTGGTCAGCCTGCAGCTGGAAGCAGCAGGAATGTTCATCCAGACACAGTTCATGGAGAAGGGGGGTGGAGTAAAACGAGCTGTGTGCTTCAGGAAGATGTTATGAACCGAGACACAGCAGCGTTTTGGTTTTCCTGTAACGCAAGGGGAAAATTTGCTTCACCGACTGCAGCAATTACAACAAAACAATAGTTAGATACATCAAATTCTCTCCGCCAGCCCCATTTACATTTCAGCATGGCTTCCTTTGTTCTTATACCATACGACCTGTCTGAATATGATCTCTCCAGGATGCATCAAGCTTTGTTCTTTGTGTTTTCTGTCTGCACTCACCATTCGCCTTGCATTGGTCACTATAGAAAAATGTTCTTTCCTCCACCTCTGACTGTGCTGTCGTCTGCTCCTCGCTGTTTTCTTCCACACTGTTTTCTTTTATAAAAGTCTTTTTTTTACCACAGTTGTTACCTTGCATGCCTCCTTTAGTGAAGGCCAGACTGGTTGTTTAGGAAGCACACTGATCTCTGAAAGCACGCAGTCGTTCATGCAGGCAGCACAAAGAAAGCCTTCTTGTTTGTCTTTTTTTTTAGCAAAATTAACAAGCCAACACACCATGATTTGTGGGGTTACTGTTTGTCTAGAACTTTTTTGTTCTGAGTCTCCCCGTCAAACTACAACGTGGACAGACAATATACATATACGCCATGTTTGCTTCAGTGAACAAATGTAATGCACACTTATTCACAGTTGCAGTACTCCATTGATATTTGTGCAGTAATTTGGTACATGAGACACTAAACAATACTTTAGTTAAATCTGTATTTAGGCGGCTTTGCTGTCTTTTTATGCTGCAGAAATACAGGAAGTTTAAGTTGTAACTCAGCTTGCATCTTGAATGTAGTCAATTTCACCTTACCTTAGGATTTGTTTACTAGGGGCCCCATGCAAGCACAAGGTCAGAGGTCAAACAAAAAAAACAAGAAACGTCAATAAATATGCAATTCCGGAAGATAGATGGGGTTTTACAAATTAAATCAATAATTCAAATGTAAATAATTTCAATTTATTTAGAGATTTCCATTGCTTTTATTTATTTAACATGTTAGAAATGATCCTCGCTGATTCACTCAGGACTACACCATGCATAAAAGCAAAAAATTCATAATACGAGAAACGGCTTGTATCCATAATGCAAATACATCTAGATAACATCAACAACAAAGGCAACGATGCAATGGAAGCTGTGTTTTCAAACCCAATGCAGAGGTGTTTCCTGTCTGTCTGCAGGTCCCCACTGTTACATGCTAGCTCGCAAAAGGCAGATTGAAGGATGGTTCATGACTTTAGCTGCTACTAGCCTACTAACTGCTTGATACATTTAAAGGCTATTAACTGTTACTTTTCATTTCAGTATCAGGTTCTGTAACAGGTGGAGCGTCTAATGGAGCCTGTACGGATCCCTTTGGTAAATCTTCTCTTGGACAAACAGACGTTTCTGTTCAGGGAGTGCTCTACCTGCAGAGCTCAAACCGGACTCAAACTGAAGCTGTTTTTAAAGACTATAGTCCTGTAGTCATGCATGGCCGTGTGCTTCATGTGTGACTTTGTTCTATGGTGTGATATTTCATATCATTTAACGTTCTGTCTTATTATTCTCTGGCGTGTTTGTTGTGCAATTTGATGTGCTTTCAAGTCCCATCTAGGCACGGACATTGCGAATGAGCTTCAGCTATAAATGCTGCTCTTTGTGGCATCAGTTTACTTGCTTCATATTAGACCTATAGAAATAAATATTAAATAAAATTAACATCAAATACTAAAATATTTTAATATTGTAGGAAAGAGATTGAGGCTCTACTAGTACGTGAGTTGTTCGCTGTAGCTTACAACTCCTCCAGCGCTCTGCTGCCTCAGTGTGTGTGTGTGCGTGTGTGTGTGTGTATTTCTTCTGTGTGACTGGGTACCTGCTGTAGTGAAGCAATCCTGCAACATTTCAAAGAATCTATCATGGAGGAACAGGAGAAGAATTTTTCCGTGAAAATACCAAAATATTATTAGCAAGTTCATGGGTATATGTTCAATTCAACAACAAAAGAATCCTACAATCAGCAGGAAACATTTTCAGTCTTTGGTGTAAACCAGATTTAAAAAAGGTTTCCATTTTTTTAGAGTTAAGTTTTCGGTCATAATCTGAAAGATGGAGTTTGTTTCTTAAACACAATATTTTCTTTTACTGCATTTTCAGTAGATTCACATTTCCGTGGCTTCTGACTTTTTATTTTAACAACCAGCGACTGAGAAACAGCTGCAGAGGTGTCTGTTGATCCTCTAGGTCAGTGGTTCCCAAAGTATGGGTCAAGACCCCCTGGGGGGTCGTGAGACACTGTGAGATGCCTCCTAAAAACAACACAATTTTTTGAAATAATTTAACATTGCATATTTGACCCATTATTGTGAAAACACATTAAAAAAAAAGTATTCCAATTTAAAATGAAACTAATGTCATCAATTCAGATTCATGCAGAGATGAAATTGATGAAACCTTAAATGTAAGTTTGTATAAATGCATCAATGTAGGTGTCTGTTGCTCTCTAGGAATAAATACCCCCCCCCCACACACACACACACACACACACACACACACACACACACACGCACGCACGCACGCACGCACGCGCGCGCACACACACACACACACACACACACACACACACACACACACACACACACACACACACACATCACCTGCGTGTGTTATAATTAAATGTTGTACGTCCACTCAGTCCTTCAGTTTAAACATGGAGATGACTTGTGTTCTTCTACTATCCATTCTTACCATGAATTACTAAAATATGGAGAGTGGGGGTCCCGTGCTGAAATATCTGAAAACCCCTGCTCTAGGTGAATGTGTGAGTGTGTGAAAGAGAAAGAGATATTTGTTTGTGTGTGTGTGTGTGTGTGTGTGTGTGTGTGTGTGTGTGTGTGTGCGCGCGCGTGCGTGTGTGCGCGCGCGCGTGTGTGTGTGTGTGTGTTCCTATACACAAAGCATAATAATGGCAATATGACCACATTTTGTTCGACTAACTTTGAAAACTAATTTTGAACGCCAACATATCAAAATGTATTTAATTTAGGCAACATATATTTTGATTGAATAAATAATAAATAAAGCTGTACGGTTACGTCGTCCTTGAGTTTTTTTACAGTCCATTTTTTTTTTTTTTTTTTTTAGCTCGTGAGGATCCTGTCAGAATAAAATCAGGGTGGAAAAAACACACCTCATTAACCGGATGTCTTACTATGCGCTCGCGCTGCTCTTGCTCTCCGCCGTCACCTGTCACAGTCAGGGCACACAGTTCAAAGTCACGGCTGACCCCCCCACCCTCTCCAATCCACAACAACCACCCGTACCGATCCTTCATGTAGGCTGCTCGCACACACACACACACACACACACACACACACACACACACACACACACACTCACACACACACTCACACACACACTCACACACTCACGCAGTCGCTGTTGCGCACACGCGCAAGCCGGCACACCGGTAGAGACGTCAGGATTGGACGCAGCAGGGGATCCCCAGCATTCCGTTTCTGCCTCGCTTGGCGTATCATCATCTTTTACCGGGAGGAGATGAGCTGGCTCACTCTCGCAGAGGGCAGCAGTAACAGAGGACGCTCTCGGATCTCCGTTTCACCGGAGCGCGCTCTCTCGCTCCTTCTCCCTCCCTCTCTCTCTCTCTCTCTCCATCTTCACGTCTCGGGCTGCAGAGACTGTTTCCCCCCCGCGTGTGCCGGGCGGCCGGGACAGCGCGAGAAGAAAGCGCAGAGCAAAGGGGAAAAGGTGTTTCACCTGCTGAGCGGTTTATTTCCGGATAGAAAAGGACGCTTTGGGATGAAAATCGATATTATTCGTTGAGCTCTGTAAGTTTCATTGTAGTTTTGAAGACGGACGAGAAGCGAGCGTTTCGTCTTTCTTCAACAACGGTTCATTTCGCGTGCGCTGCTCTGACAGCCGCGCGCGCCGAGCTGCCTTGGACTCCTCGAGCCTTTCCTCTTTTTTTTTTTCTTTGCTCCAACAATACAAAAAAAAAAAATCGATTAATTTTTAAAGTACTAACAGTGTTTTGAAAGGAGGAAACTCGCCTTTTTTTTTCTTTCTTAAGACTTCCGCTCATCAAAGCGGTTAGAAAGTAAAGTAGAACCGACGGACGTTGAGAACATGGAGCTCTGAGTGCGCTTTTCTTGTTTTTATTTCCTTTTGCTCGGAGCAACATAAAGGTTGAAGTTGAAAATCCGAACAAGTGGGAGTTTGTTTTGTCGGAGGAAAGTGGAAGAAAACAACACAACAAGCGGCTACAGACGGAGGTCGTAAACTAGCAGAGGAGGATCCCCCCCCCCAGCATCGGGACGCACAGGTAGGACAGACCTCACTGACAATAAAGCTGTAGGAAAAAAAAGGAAAAGAAACAGAAGCAGACATTTAGAATAAAACAAACAAAAATATTTGAATATCTGAGCAGCACACCGGGGTGACTCTGTGTTGTTTCCACGACAGATGCCATCCTCTCCGGTATAAAATGGCAGGTCAGCGCTGCTCCACATGTCGATACGCATCACACACCATGTTCAGAGAGCGCCTCAATGTAATCCTCCGCGATTCATTTAGGCACCAATAAAAACGAGCAATCACCACGTGTTTATACAATTCTAACTTTTCTAATTGGTCCTCCTTATATTAACCCTTAAACTGTGCAACAACATGAGCGAGTGAGCAATGTTACCGGATTTAAAAGTTGATTTTAATTTAAACATGTCGGCGTTTTCTGCGATGTATACCCCGTAAGAGGGCCTGTGTCATGAATATTAAGAAAAAAGCCTCTGATTTGGATTTAATAAGCTTATTATAATTGCTGTTAGGGCAGCGAGAGTTAAATTGACTGTTTTTCTGAATGGAAATCATGGCGATCTGCAGGCTACGTTCTTGAAATTTGTCGATGCAACACAGTTCATGACGCGTTTTAGAGGCAGTTTATAGAGACAGATTACAGCGCAATGTTTGGCAGAGATGAAGGCGATTGTTTTCACTTGGGAATGTTTGATATCTGAGTGTATGTATGGAGGGAGATTGAAACGTCAGATAAGAGGAGGGGGGAGAAAATAAAATAAAAAAATCCCAAATTCAATAATTTAGCCTTGGCAACACATGCAAATCAAAGTGAATGCCAGTGTGTCTTTTTGTGCATGGACGAACACTGTATCGCCAAGATTTCTAACACAATTTCTATCCTGATGAAATAAACTCTCAGCCTGCTTTTTGGGAAGATATTCTCTTGATTTTATAAATGCACTTTTAAACCATCCTGCTGTAAAGAGGAGTGAGCTTTATCCTCCTGCATACAGTGGCAATTTATAGTGAATGAAATAATGTGAAAATGAAATGTGTCACTTTTAAGAGTTTGTGCATGTAATGTAACCACTGACACATAATATAATATATAATATAATTAGAGTTGTTGGGGTTTAACCTCCATCCTGGTATCGATTTCAAACAGGAGCCCACTTTGAAATAGGATTACTGGCTAGGATTACTTAATGCCTGAACTAAATTTGCAGTAATAAACCTTGTTCCAGAAATGTCTTGTCTTGTGAGTGTGTGTGGAAGTGTGTGTGTGGAAGTGTGTGTGTGTGTGTGTGTGTGTGTGTGTGTGTGTGTGTGTGTGGTGGGGGGGGGGGGGGGGGGGTGGGTGTGTGTGAGTGTGAGCCAGCAAGGTATGCACTGAGAGGCTTCTCTCTTGGCGTACTCTCTTCTGCAATGTTGGGTAGTTAAGTAAATTTCCGCCCTTGCCCAACAGGTTTTTGAGAACACTTTTCTGTAAATATTTCCTCCATTTCATCTTTTTCTGTCACTTGACTTGTGGACGTATGCACAGCGGCTGTGGGAAACGCTTTGACCTCGTATTCCCGGGTACTGTTTGCCGTTTGGTCTCGCCTTCTCTTCTTCTGAAACATTAACGCACGTCCTTGGTATCTCCACCTTCCCTCTGTGTGCAGGTACAGAAGATATTAGTACGCACTTTGGTGATCATTTTTAATCAATGTGAAATTTCCTGTAAAATCTTGACTTCAGTGTGCAGGAATTGAGATTCAATTGCAGCATAGTGCTCAGAAATGAGAGTGTAGATACTGTGCTGCACTGTTGTTGCTTTCAGCGGAGCTCTGTGAAGGTGACAAGTGTGTTTACTTTGAGCTAATCCTCTTTTAAAAGGTCTGACCTTTTTCATTAAAATACATCTTTTATCACTTTGTTGTTTTGATGCTTTTCAGCGCTCTCTGCATCCAACTGTCTGATGTCATTGATAGAATGGTTTCAATGAAAGAGAGTGGAGACGATACGTTGTGTCATCATTTCATGCTCGTGATGAGAAGTGAGGAAATGTCGTGCTCTGTTGGATGTGGAGGCATATACAGTATATATACAGTATATTTATTCTGCAGTGTAATTTTGTAACAAACAGTTGCTTCCTCTGATGATGATTTAAAAAAAAAAAAAAGTTCTCAAGATTTTTTATAAAAAGAGCTGTGAACGAAGCTCATTTCAATTTCCCAGTCTCAGGTAGCGTCTTCCAATCGCTTCTTTTGTCAAAACCACAGTTCAAAATCTCCCGAAAATTGTTTTTTTTTTATCAAAAATGATGACTAAAATCAACAAATCAGTGCATTTCAGAAGCTTCAACGAACAAACCCTTTATGTTATTGCTTAATAAATCACATAAATGATTCAGGGATTACAAAAAATAGTTGTCAAATGACTTTCTTTCAGTCAGCTGATTGATCAAATCACAAATCTCTGAAGCTCTTGATTTGTGTTTATTATTGACATTGCTGCTTGTGTGAAACAGGCTATTTATTGACATCATTTCGAAGCAGTGATGTCAACATGGCGATAATTATTCAAAATCTAGAATGTCCATTTAATCAAATTGTTTGGGTTGTATGTTTGGACATGTGTCGATGCATCTCACAAACTAATGTGATTTTTTTTAGCTTCTGTTCTCGTCGATCTTTTATAAACCGCAGCGTCTGCACACAAAGGAACAACTCACTGTCGTCAGGTGAAGTTATTTTAGGTTAAAGAAGCATCAGCTGAAGTACAGAGAGAGACGGTGCTTGTTTAAATCTGAACTAGGAGGAGTCAAACCTGCCTTTGAAAAGCGTCTGAATAGAAGCTGGGTAATGTTTGCGTCGACTCTGTAGCTCAGCAGCAGCAGCGCTCTGTCCTCCATGCTGTTAGCTTCACAGATGGCTCAGGCTGCGTCCTCATTAAACACCAACGAAGAAGAAGAGTTATTTTAAAATACTGTATGTGCATTTGGAGATTATTTCTTTGTTTCAGCAGTAAAAAGTCTAGATGATATTTTACATAACTCAACGGTTTGTCCTGGTTTCTCTCTTCACTGATGTTTTTTTCTCAGATATGTTGAAGTGCAGCTCAGTCAAAAACACCGCAAGCATCGGCAACTAAAGCGAACGACTATCACTATTAATTATTTTCAGTGCATCATACAGCGTGAACTTCTACAAATCAGGACACTCCAGAAAAATAGACATATAGATGTTCTAAATATATCAAGCTGCTTATTGTGACATCTCATCCTGTTTGCCTTACAAACAGTTAAAAACATCTTTACAAATATACACAAACAGAAACAAGAGACACAGCACCTGCATCATCCTGCGTGTGATTGCAGGCGATGTTAAATGTTTTCATGTTATTCTGTCAGCAGAGACAAAATTTATATATATCTATTTTTTTTTTTTTAGAATCCGCTGACTTGAGGTGACACTGCTTTGATTTAAAGATGGATTTAAAGATTCATGAGATTTTTAGTGAAAATTACATTTTTATTTTCGCAAGAATTAAAATTTAAAAAAAAGGATTTAAAAATGATTTTAGTCTCTGTATGTTGTTAAAGATCAGAAGTGTGAGTGTGTTTCTCACTGAATGAGTGGCAGGTTATTTTACCTGTGTGTGTGTGTGTGTGTGTGTGTGTGTGTGTGTGTGTGTGTGTGTGTGTGTGTGTGTGTGTGTGTGTGTGTGTGTGTGTGTGTGTGTGTGTGTGTGTGTGTGTGTGTGTGTGTGTGTGTGTGTGGGTTTTTCTACACACAAAGCATAATAATGACACTATGACCACATTTTATTCAACACACCGTGATGAGCTGATTGAATGTGTGTGTGTGTATCAAAATGCTGTAGAAAGGACTTGAAAGTGGGCTTTGTGTGTCCATGTTGTATGTAGGAGGTTGGCTGTACTCAGTGTGTGTTTGTGTGTGTGTGTGTGTGTGTGTGTGTGTGTGTGTGTGTGTGTGTGTGTGTGTGTGTGTGTGTGTGTCTTTTTGTGTGTTTAATAACTACCATGAGAGCCCTCAAACTGAAGATTCATCCGCATTGCACACACTATGTGTGTGTGTGTGTGTGTGTGTGTGTGTGTGTGTGTGTGTGTGTGCGCGTGTGTGTGTGTGTATTATCCAGGGAGTGCTCAGACTGAGGATCCAGCTGATGAAAGCTACCTGGCGCTTCATAAATGAACCTTTTGTCCAACAGTGGAGCCTGTGTGTGTGTGTGTGTGTGTGTGTGTGTGTGTGTGTGTGTGTCTAGTAGATGTGTATTTCTTTAATTTTCTCTGGATATCAGCAGAAAGAAAATGTTTTGTTCGGAGTTTAGTACATGCTACTGTGTTTTTAATTCTTGAGAATGTATTTTCTGTTTTGTAGCTGAGTGTTGAAATTGTTGCAAAAAGTAAAATTTATATTTAACGTTTAACGTTTAAACTAATATTTTCCATACTTTAAAGTTACACAGAAGACAAACAGAGGCAGCGCCATGTTCTCTCCATCTATATTTCATATCCACGTTATGCAGCCTGCAGCACGGCGCAGGACGTGGACCTGTTTCAGGACCTGCAGGCTGTCTCAGCGTTCTCAGTGTTCTCATGTTACTCCTTCGAGTTAATGTGTTCAAAATGGACTCTTGTCATTTAATCTGGTTTACAAGTCATATCTTAGAATTGTATTCATCACTTAATTATGTTAATAAGTTGTGAGTTTTATCTCAGAGTAATTGGTATTTAAAAGTGTGCACCCTTTGCGGCTTCTGTTCCTCCTGGGCTTCCGTAGATCTTTCTGTCCGTCTTCAGGGTGCAGTGTTCACATCACTGAGGGAGCAGAGATGCAGAAAACAGAGACCAGAAGGAAGTTCAAGTTGTTTCATTGTCTTCCTCAGGAGCAAATATATCGATGCATATCGTGAAGTTTACAATAACTACATTCATGTGTATGCCTTAGAGATTCTCACAAGGTCAGAGAAATAAATTATTTGTGTACATCTATAGATGATGGAAAGCCAGTCTGCACTCTA